GCTGTATCTGTAGCTTGTTCTGAGCTGCCAACAGTCTACCTGAAGCAGATCTACGGGACCTTCTACCAAACAGGAAGACTTACCCTTTCTCCTAATGCCAGTGGGTGCGGGCCTCACATGAACAGCCTAACAAAGCGGCGTACATTAGCGGTCATTAATAATCTGTGACGGGTCAGACCAAAGGTCATTGTACTGGGATGAAAGTCTGTGTGCACGCTGCATTATTCTGTCTTCCCCCGGGTGTCCTCCTGTGTTATTGGACCCATCACCGTGCTCCACAACTACTCGCTGGTGTCTCGTCTCTTTGTAGCCAGACGCACTTTTGGTCATCCAAGACGACGGGATAAATCACACTATTGTCCTTCCTGTCACACCTGCAGCTCATGAGAAACGGATACAGAACCCGCTCTCATTAAGGTACAAACGAGACGCTTCCTGCATTTGCTCGTTATCATCTCCTGAGATGTGTCCGCTGAGGTGAACCGCATTCAAAAACACACGTAGTCTTCATAAAAGCGCTGGCGAGCTTATCTTCACCTGCTGGGAACAAGACCGGAGGCACCATGCAGGACCGCTGCTTTGTCTGTGTGAAACCGAGCTCTGCAAGCATACTTGTGACCACTCTCAGCCTCACAATAGCTCTTCAGACGGACAGGAGGGAAAGGAAGTGTAACTCTAGGAAAGCACGACGTGTACCTGTCCCAGCTGAGGGAGCTACCTGGATGAGGAGATAAAGGCTGAAAAGCAAGAGGAAGAGTCCCGCTCTGGGAGTGCAGGAAGTACTACAAGGTGGAGTACCTACTTAGCACAGGAACAGAGAAAGAAAAGGGCAGAGAGGGTTCGGTTGTTCACCACAGAGAGCTTCAGGAGCAGGAAGCAACAAGATGTGGGTGGAGAGAGTGGAGCAGACCGCCTCCCTCCACAGGACACCGGTGATGAAGAGGGTTCTGTGACCATCGGCCTTTTTCCCAGGGACACAGGAAGTTAGTCCGGCCTGATGAAAAGCATCGTGTGTGTGTGTGTGTGTGCGTGCGTGCGCGCGTGCGTGTGTGTGTGTGTTGTTCTAGCTTCAAACCTTTAGGGTGTCTTGTTGTTTCTCTGTCATGCAGGTCAAGGGTTTGTGCACAGAGGTCAGGCTGCAGAGTTTGGAATGTGCTCCTTGATTTCATTAGCCACACTTAAAGAGCTGGCCTTGGTGCAGATGTGTGTGTGTGCGTGCACGTCTGTTTGCACGAGCACACATGAGAATAGAGTTCATTGCTCCAGTTCAAGCCAACACTCGTCACCAGGGATGTGATGTGTTTATGGCACAGATTCAGAATCGTACAAACACCTTCACAGTGGAGGGGAACGAGCCGCTGAGTCACACAAACACACACACTTCCAACGCTCCTGCAGCGTCAGCGAGCTCCATGACTCGTTTTCCTACTCGGCAGCATCTTCCCGAGGCCTCTAATAAAACACAGATCAAAGAGCAGTGAGCAGACATGTCATTACACACACACACACACACACACAGCCCGTCTGTCTGCTGCTGCTGACACGACTCGCTGGCTCTTTGTTTCTCATGTCGTTGTTTTGGACAGACCATAATAGCGTGATGTCGGCACATCCCTGATGGCCGCTTACTGGAGTTCATCTTCAGGGAACAAACACAACTGACATCAGTTGTAATTCCAGCTGGAGTTCAGCTCCGTCGCCTCGGGGTTCCTCGTGTTTTCTTAGGAGGCGGGACTACAGTTCATGAGAACACGCTCCGAGTCTGAGCATCCATGTTTGTTCTCCCCTCCTTCTGGACCTCTAGAAGCATAGCAGACGTCTCCATCTCATGACGAATCTGCTGTCGCACTCATGGAGCCTGTAATGTTAACACATCCAGACCACTCACCAGCGGAGGAGCCTGCAGCTGGGAGTCGTCTCTTCTTGATGTGTCCCCCCGAACACCCTTTCTCCAGACTGCAGCTACAAGTGGGCCGTGAAGCCCGGCAGCAGCGTGGGTCTGGGCCTCACGCCGTTAATAAAGAGGCCAGCTGAAGGAGATGAGCAGGCTTCATTTGTTCTCCTAAACATGACATGTTTGTCCATCGAGTCGTTGTCCTAAACACCCCGCACACACGCACACACACACACACACACACACACACACCCTAACCCTGATCCCTCTGTGCAGCACAGTGTGATCTAGAGAGAGAAGATGTGTTTGTGGAGCTAACCCTCTCTCCCATCCTCCGTTTGAGCCAGATGACTTCTACTTGTGAGTGCTGCTCGTGTTAGTGCCAGCAGAAGCCAGCGTGCACGTTAAACTCCGAGGCTTTGAATAAAAACATCTGAATGGTGCCCAAAAATAAGATAAGAGGCATGAGGAGGCATTCTTCTGCCGTGAGATCAGCGCTGAGCTCTCTGGTTGCACGTCTTTCGTCTTGGTGCTTAAACTCTCCTCAGATGGAGACGTTTGGTGAATTGTACTCCGTCACCTTTAATCTGCCTGGACGTTCTACGTAGAACCGGCCGGGCCCGTCCGATTCAGCCTGTGAGCCACGTTTCTCGTTAAAGGCGTCGCCCACACGCAGATCAACACATGCTGCAGCGCCCATCGCTGAGCGGGTCCGAGGGTGAGAGGCTTGATTTCCTGATGTGTGTTTGGGATGACTTCATCAGCAGATCCGTTAACAGCCCAGTGGTTTCTGCAGCCCCTCAGGCTGCTCGGCGCTCCTGAGACGGGCGACTCGTGCGTTCTGTTCTGTTTTTGCTGCTCTATCAAATGTAGCTTTTCTGTTTAGCAGAAACAAAATCCTGAAGAGTTTCTGGGGGAGTTGTTCAGCCGCGGCGGCCCTCCGACCAGCGGCCTCTGAGCTGGTCGTTAGGAACTAAAACTTACGTCTCTCTCTCTCTCTCCTGGCTGTCCTGCTGCAGGAACTGTCGCTCGTAGGTCCAGAGTCTCCGTCGGAACAGGCCAGAAGGGTTTTCCAGTCATTCGATCCTGAAGGTAACGAGTGTTGTGATTCTGTACGTTTTACTCCTGATGGTGATCTTCCATCCTTACTGCAGGAACTCACCGACGGCGTTAACCCTCCGACCCACCGCGGTGGTCGGGTCCTGCCCAACGGTGTTGTTCGGGTCCGTGCTGCAGATGCGTTCCTCTCATCTTCACTGTTGATGTTTAAGTTGGTGTCAGCTCCTCAGACAGCTGAGCCAGCCTTCCTGCTTCATCCCTCTCTTCCTCCCTTCTTAACATTCCCAGAATAGACGGTGAGGGAGGCACGACTGGTTGGTTGGTTTTTGCTTTTATTCAGCCGTTTACCACCAGAGACGGAAGACTCGCTCTTCTAAGATGGAAAATAATTCAGATTCATCACCGAGGCTTGTTCTGCTTTGCGTCTCCGTCCTGTTTCCAGTGAGCCGCTGCAGCGGTCTTAATGTTCTGGCAGATAGAGTCCGTGACTTGTCCCTGAGCAGCGGGCTGCTGTGTGCTGGTTTCATCTCACCTGAAGCTTCCAGTGTCCGTGGGCTCTAAAGAGGGACAAAAGGCCTCAACAGAAAGCTTTTAACATCTGAGAAGGTTAAGAAGCGGAACGCTGTGAGATTAGCGCTCACTCGTGCAGCTGTGCACGCAGCTGTGCACGTAGCTGGAGCGTTCAGCGGAGTAAATCAGCAGTTGTGCTGCTTATCGTCATGTTTTACGGGAAACTCTGACACAACAAACAGCTTGTTGGCTCTAGGCTTCATAGGAACATGAGCTGCTTTGTGCTGGATCTGCATGTGATGCAGCCTGATCACGGGACGAGCGGCTCCAGCAGCAGACGTAAACAGAACCGTCATCGTTTGTTTCTTCCTGTTGCACAACGGAGCCGTGCTGCTGCCGCTGCTCAGCGCGTTCTGCCGACCACATGGTCGTCTCTCACCCACACACGTGCACACAGTCTGCGGCCTGCAGACTTTCATGTGTGTTGTGCACACATGAGAGGAGACGGGCTGTAAGCAGCACAAGTATCCGTGCACTGCAGTGAAGGACGTGAACCTGAGTGTGACGCGTCAGTGTGGCTCCCTGTGGCTGCAGCGCGTCGGCCTTCATGTCCCCGTGTCGCGGTCAGGTGGAACATCTGCTTTCATCTGCAGGAGAACACACCGCCATATCTTCAGATCACATCTGGGGTGCATGCGTGTGTGAGAACGAGACGCGGGGACTTGTGAGGTCATGTTTCAGCGGGAGGAAAGCTCTGGGTCTGGTTTGGGTCCCGTCTAGTGCGATTCAGCCACTTATTAATAATACGTTTTGTTTAACGCGCCTTTCCTGTCTCCCAAGGACACTTTACAGCAGGGGGCATAAATAAAACAGAATCAACGGTGCAGGAGTGTGAAAACACCAAGATATGGTGAAAGCTTGTTTGAAAAGTGGGTTTTGATTTAAAGAGCGAGTGATTCTGACCCTCTTCATGTTCTCGTGTTCTAGATAACGGCTTCATCCCAGACTCTCTGCTGGAGGACGTCATGAAAGCTCTGGACCTCGTCTCTGAGCCTGAGTAGTAAGTGTTGCACAGCACACCTGCAGCGCGTCTGAAGTCGAGGCCGGCCCAGGTCAGTACCTCTGCTCAGGTTTCACTACCAGATGCTATAACGTAGGACCGGGGAGAGCCCGCTATAAAAGCTCGGCACGAGGCTTAGGGTACGGTCCTTAACGTCAGGAAGGAAGAGAAGGATGGAGGAAGTGCTTCAAAGTGCCGCTTCCAACAGAAGCACGTTCTCCTCTGAGGAACAAAAGGTCCCGAGGCCGCAGCCGTGGGGCTCTCCCAGCAGCGGAGCACTAATCGGGTCTGCAGAGCCCCAGATGGCCGATGCATCACAGCAGAACTGCGACCTGAGAGGAGACTCCCGTAGCAACCAGGACTCGCGTTAACCTCGGGAAGAGCAGGTCGTAGGCACGAGCAGGAGCTTCAACAGGAGCTCCGAGGAACGTTTACAGATCTGTGGAGACGAGTCCAGGACGCCCGACCGGCAACAGTCTGATGGGACCGTGGGTTCTCATAAAGCATCGCCTGAACCCGATCCAACACAGAAATGTCTAGAGCTGGGCGTCGCCCTCGTCACAGACCCGTCCCAACAGGATGGGACAGATTACAGATGATAATCTGTGACTCTGGCGTTCCGTCACGCTTTAATAGTTTTACACCCTAACCCTGATGTAGACGTGTTCTCTCCGTCAGCCTGAAGGGGCGGGTTTGGGTCCTTGGCCCAGTCTGGTTCTGGCTCCGGTTCCAGCTAGAACACACTCTTCTCTCCTTCCTGCCTTAAAAGGACGTTCAGGCTAAAAGTTTTATCTCAGCAGAATAATAAAAACACTGATCCGACACGTCGGAATGTCGGAGTATTCATGAAAACGTGCGTCCGCCGACCCAAGCGCTGCCTGGTGCTGCCCGGTTTGGCCCGGCCGTCGCACACCGAGCTCGGTTCTTCCCTCTGTCAGAGCCTGTTACACCGTTTGTGTTTGACTTCTCAGCGTCGGCCTGGTGAGGAACAAGCTCGACCCGGAGAGCCTGGGCATCATTCTCCTGGGCCCGTTTCTGCTGGAGTTCTTCCCAGATCAGGTATGTGTGTCCGGAAACACGCTTCCAGTTCACACACACACACACACACACACACACACACACACACACACACACACACACACACACACACACACACACACACACACACACACACACACACACACACATTCCACTCTCCACACAGTCCGTGTCATGGGTAAAACATACGTGTGCGTGTGCGTGTGTGTGTGTGTGTGTGTGTGTGCGTGCGCGTGTGTGTGTGTGTGCGTGTGTGCGTGCGTGTGTGTGTGTGTTCCCATATCTGAGGAGTTAGAAACAGCAGTGAGATGCGTCTGAGAGGCAGGGATGGAGGGAGCTGTGCTAAAGTGATCAGGGCTTTAGGGATTCACCAGAGGAATGGTCTTGAGCCACAGAGAAATTACCCTAGCATTAGCCAACTGGACCCACACACACACACACACACACACACACTCAGACACACGTGGGATTAGTGTGAGGGTTAGGGTTTCATATATAAGCTCCATAAACACCAAAAACTGGACACGACCTCAGACAACAGGCCCCTCCTCACCTCCACTAGAAGGCTTTTGGCCCACCGTCATTGTTCACGTTTGTATTGTTGGCTGCTCTGAGGGAACCGGAGTTGGGTTCCACCGTGTACACACACACACACGCACACACACACACACACACATACGATATGAAATGTGTCTCTGCCACGTCTGAGAGCAGTCAGCGTGTCCTTCACTCCTCTCTGCGTCTGTGTTTCAGGATTCTGGAATCCCGGACTCGTTTCCCGTCCTCCACTACAACGGACTCAAACAGTCCAACCACAAAGAAAAAGTGAGACGGCTTTGGTTCCTCTGTCTCTCTTCATTACTTTGCTTCATCGTTCTCACACGCACACACACTCACACACACACTCACACACACACACACACACGCTGCAGAATAAGCAGTAGCCGTTGTGATCCAGTAGCCCGTCCGTCCATCCAGACCCGAGCAGAACTTCAGAGTAGACCAGAGAAGAGCTTCCAGGAGAGGAGCAGGGCTCCTTTAAGGATGCTTACTACCAATACTCACACACACACTCACACACACACACACACACACACACACACACACACACACACACACAAGGCACCTATAAGGTCATGATGGCATTTCCATTCTCATGGCTCCAGATGGAAATAACAGATGTGTGTGTGTGTGTGTGTGTGTGTGTGTGTGTGTGTGTGTGTGTGTGTGTGTGTGTGTGTGTGTGTGTGTGTGTGTGTGTGTGGTAGGTGGAGTACGTGGAGGGGACAGCTCTGGTGCTCGGCTTTGAGGACCCGATGGTCCGTACTGACGACACTCCGGTGAAGCGCTGCCTACAGACCAAGTGGCCCTACATCGAGCTGCTGTGGACCACCAACCGCTCTCCGTCGCTGAACTAGCTCTGATCGTGTGTGTGTGTGTGTGTGTGTGCGCGCGTGTGTGTGTGTGTGGTTTGATCACCACCTCCCCAAACACTCGACCCCCTTAAACTTCCCCCATGAAAGGTCAGCAGAGACGGAGACACATGAGAAGGAGGACAAACAAGACAAGCATGTTCATGGAGTCATCATTTAAACCAGATTCATCCCGTCACACACACACACACACACACACACACACACACACACACACTCCGCTCTGTTATCTGTTCTCCGTGGTTATTATTTACAGGCAGGATGTTGATGAGAAACGGAGCTCTAGTTTATTTTTGCTGCTCCGCTGCGAGCCCACAGCTTCTGCTAGTTTAGTGGAAACGACAAGTTTGACTCGCTCACCGAGTCCCGTAGAGCCAGGCGACTGGAGAACTAATCCTAATCCTAATCCAGCTACGGGACAGCCTACCAAAGCCTTCCACGTACAACACACACACACACACCACAGTTTACAGTCTGAGGGACCAACCCACACACAGATCCTAGCTGGAGGTTTTTGGTGTTTTAACTAAGAAGTTGGTTCTGGTGCTCCGTGGGCTTCGGGCACCACCCCAGGGTGTTGGCCTCGTGCTCGTATTTATTATCACCTGCAGACGTTGTCAAATAAACTCTTTTTGTTCACTTGTGTGGTTTTTGCTTTGAACCCTCAGCCTGCTCCTGCACGTTCCTCAGGTTTCAGAGGTCCTCGGTCCGTTTGCAGCTCCTTCACTAAATCACACACACACACACACACGTGCTGTGTGTCCCAGAGAGACTAAATCACACACACACACGAGGCTAAGGTGTGCATGACCCGTGGTCCATCAGAGCCAGGCTGACGGGCGTTAACGTGAAAGGAGCACTGAGGTGATTGGTCACAGCTGATCGACGCCGGCCTCATCTCCTTCCTGTGGTGCTTTCTGCCTTCATTCATTCATTCATTCATTCATAGTGAAAGGTCTCTAGAACAACATGAATGTTTAGCACAGCAGGGTGACTGGGTGCACCTCTACAGAGTCAGTCTAATTCAACATGGCCGCCACAGAGGTCAGCAGTCATCGCTCACGCGCACCCAGCACCAGTGGCTCTTGTGATGCGCCATGAGATCCTGCTGACCAGCAGCAGACCTCAGGTGAAAACACCTGTCGAGTATGAAACACTTCACTAGAACAAACCGGTACACACAGGTGGGTCTTAAACAGGTCAAAGGTCAGAGCATCTGTCACATTCAGGGGCAGCCTGGTGCACAGAGAGCTCCAGCTCTGGTTAGAGGACCTGAGTTGTGCTGGAGGCGTTTGTGATGCTTTATCGTTTCAACCTGATCAGATGGAAGTTTTAATGTTCTAATCTTCTGATTCCAGGTGGGCCTCCTGTCTTTTGTCCTCCTCTCTCCACCTCAGACCCAAAGAATCAGCTGAGATAGACCAGAACTTTCCCTTCACCCTGTTTAGTCTGCCTTTAGGGCGGCGGAGCTAAGAGGTCCAGGCGAGGTGTCGGGAACAGCCTGAGGAGGAGTGATGGTCTCCTCCTGGCAGGTCAAGGCGAGTTTCTGACCTCACCTTCTCACCTGACAGAGAACACCAGTGCTGCCCTTCATTCCATCACTCATAGGGTTCCTTTAGACACGCGCTCTGTCATACAGAGCAGACTGGGGGATCAGATTAGGGGAGCAGCAGTGTGCAATCCAGATATCTGTGTGTGTGTGTGTGTGTGTGTGTGTGGATGGGGAGCATTAAACTTTCATACATGCACGTGAGACATCTGCTGTGACATGACAGTTGGCTCCATAACTACAGGATTATTGTCAGAGTGGGGAACAGCCTCTAGTGTAAAATCAGGCTAAGAGGTGTTGTTGTTTACTAATGAGGCGCGTGCGTCTCACATCTGTGGCCGGATGTTCTCCCAGACTAGTTCTACCGAGTTTTCAGATAGAAAGTGCGGTGCCATAAAAGGAGCGGTGACGCGCCATCCTCCTTTTTGCGCGCTTATGTGGTTTCTGTTCTGCCTTGTAAAGCGCGCGCGCGCGTGTGTGTGTGTGAGAGAGAGTTTTGTGCAGAGGGTGGGGGCGCGGTGGTTCAGTCTAGCTGCGGAGGTTGTGGAGGTTTGAGGGTGTAAAGAGGAGGACGCAGCCTGGGAGCGCAGCGCAGCGGAAAGCGCGCACATGCGGTCACTTTGCGCTCTTGACTCCAGGACGAACGTCTCACCCGCACTTTGGAAGCTCCACTTTCGCTCAGATCTGGGAAGGTCGCGCTGCTGGAGGATGGAGCGTGTGCGGGATCGCGCCTCCTCTGCTGGGATGTTTGTGCTCGCTGCGCTCTGCCTGGCGCCAAACGGAGTCTGGAGTTTTAACCTTTACGCAGAGCATCCCACGGTTTACAGAGGACCCGATGGGAGTTATTTCGGGTATTCTGTGGACTTCTATCAAGCTTCTACCGACAGGAACACGTGAGTGGAAAGATCAGGGCAGAAGCTGTCCCTCCAGGTCCTGCAGGACTTCTCAGCGCCTCCAGCTGCAAACGTCGCGTCTTTAGAAAAGAATCAAACATGAGATGGGAAGGTTCCGTTTGGCCGTAAACTAGAAATGGTCTCATTTTCTGTCTTGTCCTTGTGTCCCCCAGGGTCAGCGTGCTGGTGGGGGCTCCTAGAGCCAACACCTCCCAGCCAGGCATCGTGGAGGCTGGGGCCGTCTATTACTGCCCCTGGCCCGGGCTCCCCGAGAGCTGCAGACAGATTCCCTTTGACAACTCCAGTGAGTCACCTGAAATGTCCCCACACCTTGTTGTCTTCTGCACCAACCAAGTTCCCTCGTGGTCCCCAGCCCACTCCAGTTTTTCCCCTTAGGGGTTCCCCTTATGTCTCTGCGTCCTTGGTCCCCAGCCCCCTCCTAGTTCTCTCAGGTTCCCTTCTAGTCACTCCCCGAAGTTCTCTACAGGTTCAGGTTTTCATTAGTCTCCTTTAGTGTGTTTCCTTCTCCACTTGTTTTTTCCTCCCTCACTCCTCAGGTCTTTA